CCCCAAAACCCCAAAACCCCAAAACCCCAAAACCCCAAATTTTAGATATTAAATTGAAAATATTATGTTATTATAAAATGTCAAGGCTAAATGTTCATGCTGACTTTATACATCATAACTCTGAACTTGTAAAGATTTAAGAAGCAAATGGAGAAATTACCAGAGTGTCATGCAGAAGAATGAACCAATGTGGCTACTTACTTACATAAAGGTTTTAATGTCAACATCTGTGATGAGCATTATCAACTAAATCACAAAGAGAGTTGAGTCAAACTTGAAAATATTGGTGAACCAGATGGAATCAAAGAAGCCCTTGAAGTTATCCAAACATGTATTAAGAATTTTCGAGTAGTCTTGGATTCTGATAATGACAAAGAAACCCAAGAAGAAACTATACGCTTTCTTGCTGAGATTCAGACTCAAATCCAAGAGATATTTAAAGAGATAGAAAAGGGTGATGGAGGTCAAGAATTCTTAGATATTCATGATATCAATAATAAAGTGAGAGATATCTTCTTGAAGTTGAGAAGTGAAGAAGGCTTTAAGCAGTTCTGAGTAATCAACTACATTCACCTTATGGGAGATTACCTTGGCATTAACAAAAGCAAAACCAATCGAATCATAGGAATTACCGGAATATAAAATCCGAAATGGAAATAGATTTAAGATTATTAGATAACAAGAATACCAAAAGCTATAAAGAACTGGAGAAAGAACTTGTTGAGTTGAAACAGAGAGCCATATCATTGATAGATCCATCAACACTACAGGGACTTGAGAAATACTACAAATTGGTAACTAATAAGAGCCAGAATATTGCAAGTACCAAAAAACTTATACTTGAATTTGATAACGAAAAGGACATTGAATTTGTTAAAAATTTCGGAGGCAATATTGTTCCAAATCTTGAAAACTTAGAAATTGATAAAATACTAGAAAACTTGGAAGTTGCAAAAGAATTTCTATTTTCTTCTTTTCCTCAATCAGTTGAGAATTTTCATTTAAATTTCAAAGGAAGAATGCACAATTGCGATGAAATTATTGACGTTCTCTGATATTTGAATCCTAGAATAATGAGAAGTTTACATATTTACCGCTTTGAATTAAGTCAAATCCAAATGAAGAAAATATTTCAAATTACCAAACAGATCCAAACTTATATTGGATTTCGATGTTGTAAACTTGAACTAGATACGATCCCTGATTTTGGAAACTCTCTTGATGGATTAATCATTAGAATTCTTAGTTTTAATTATTGAGGTAAACCAGAATACTCAGATTGGAAGAATCACCTAGAAAGATTTACCAACTTAGTTAAAGGACTTTCAAAATCTTCACATTTCAAACAAAAAATCAAGGGAATCGAACTATTGGATTGAGGAATGACTAAAATACATGTCAGACAAATCCTAAACCTCACCGGCTTCCAAAACCTACAAATAAATTCTCACTCTATCTAATCATTCACTAATTCTTCCTATTCTTCCTTATCTCCATTCAAATTTCCATTTGACTCCTAAAGTTCACCAAGATCTTCAGCGGAATCTCATTATTAAATTGAGTTCAATATTTATAACTCTTAAGGGGTTTTGGGGTTTTGGGGTTTTGGGG